ACTTACCATGTTATCATCACAAAAGTGAGCACGGAACAAGTGAGGGTGCGGTACTAAGGAGCTCCCAGCAGCTCTCCAGGGGAGGAAATGCATTTTTAGTTAGGCTGAAATTAAACTGACAGCATGGAAGTATTTAATGAATATGACTTTTGGAGTGTTTTGTTTTTTGTTAATCAGAGAATTATCACTGCAACTTCTGAAACCAGTACATTTCAAGTGCCTACAGTGCAGTTCCACTGTTAGCCACTAGATGCTGCTTCAAAGAAAACTTGTTTATTTGTCTGTCCTGTGTATCACTGTTACTGCACTGCCTCTATAATGAGCCTCACTTTGACACGCTCTGTACTTCTGTGTGGTGCTCCCACATCAGCACTAAAAGTTCACTGATCTTACATTCTTCTAGTCATCACTAACTTTATTCTTGTGGCTTCAAAACAAGCTTCCTTGTTGCCTGTGGTTATATTAAATTCATCCTGCACTTGTAAGAAACCACACACTGCTGCTGGACGCATCGGTTTGAAGTCCCTTCATTTTTAAGCCTCTTTCCTTCAGCTAACCCTAACATCAGGCTGAGCTCTGCTCTTCATTTCCTATCAGCCCATACAAATCTAAAAGAAAAAACATCTCCCTCTCAAGCTCTATACAAGCAGTCCACTCCAGGCTGCAGGCTGCAGTCTCTCTGAGCCATCATTACAGTCATTAGGCAAGGATAAGCTCTGTATCACAGGAGTCCACCAGCATCCAGTTTAACCCAGCACAATTAGCACATCCGTTGGAGTAGAATTACCCTGTAAAATGAGAATGCTCTGGACAAAAGAGGCAGGAGAGTTGGAGCTGAAAAAGGAGGGTAAGTGTGAGGGAAAGGGGGAGAGAGAAGAAGAAGAGAAATAAGAGAGGACAGGGTGAGATTAAAATTGTTTGAATTGAGTCCACGCTCGCCCCATTCATTTGGTATTCTGCTCAAATCAGGGCTTTTGTTCGGCCTGGCGTAAAGTAGTGTCAATCATCTCGACCCGGTTTTGTAGAATGGGGAAATTTATTATGAATTTGCTCCTGCAAATAATGAGGACTACCCCCTGCCTGTTCTCCCTTTCCCTCCTCCTTCTCCCTCTAAGCTACCTCTTCTCAGTCCCCTTTGCCTCCTCCCCCATATCAATGCTGCAGAATAGGCAATAGAGAGTGAAGTTAGCAATCTCAGGGCCACTCGCACTCTGGACCCACATCAAAGTGACAGAGACGTCCAATCAGATTTGTCTTACAGGCATTACATGATGAATATGGTGCGGCCGTAGCACAAAAGCGTCTTTGTGTCTCCTCCAAGCAGAGACTATTCACAGCTCGCCACAGCCAGCCAGAGTGGAAGTAAATGGCCAAAAGGGCCCAAGCCAGAAAAAAAGCACCCAAACTTGTGCAGCACAATGGCCCATGCAAATCACAGCCCCACCGCCTCCACCCAATCACACATCCCTACCTCCTCCATCCCTCCAACCTTCAGGCCTGAGCTGGGTTCTTCCTCTACTGGGTCGACCGAAGTTTAGGGCCTATTCACACACATACAGAGGTGTCAGTTAAAAGTGCTGAGGTGAATGCATGCATGCATTCAAACGTCTTTTCTCCGTTAAGCTAAGAAAGAAGACTTTGCTTTCTTTTAGTTTGGGAAGACAGAAGAACAACATGAGTCAAATTGCTGACTTTTTTTTTGTCAGAAAGCAAAAGTGACTTGGGCAAGATTCCTACTAGTTACTAGTAACTAGACTTTAAGGCTTTTGCAGCATTCTTGTGTGGCCCTGTAATATTTGCTGAAAAATACAATGTGACAGGCCCAATTTGGCAAAGATAAAGATCTTGTGTTGACACTTATATTCAAGTGGGCTTTCAGTTCTAACTTTAGGACACCTTCAAGAGATATTCAGAAATTAGGCTACAATGAAGGAGTTAAAAAAAAATAACAGTTTAGTACAAATCATAAAAACTGTAAAGAACAAGCAGGTTTCTCTATGAAAGTTTGATTTGATCATCTTAAAAGCTCGTAGGAAAAAAACATGTTGCTTACTCCAGTGTCCCTAGCAGTTAACTGAATGGGTGCGGAGTCCACACACCACGCTTGGTGTTAGTAAATGACACATTTGCTGAGATATGACCTCAGCTCATGTTTAGCCACTTCAGCATTAGATTAGATTAGAGAAACATTTTGGTATCTGAAAACTCTAAAGCTTCACATCTATGAAGAAAGTGTATGAAGAATAGGAGCAAATCTATTGCTATGAAGAATTTTCGCTTTTTGGAGCACCCCCTGGTGGTTCATTTTCACACTTTGGTCCGAAGATCATTTACACCAAATTTGTTTAATATCATTTGGAAGCTTTTAAATGGGTTTCTTTTTTAAAAAATGGGTTTGAAAGTTGCATCCAAAAATAAATACCTAGACTAGACTTTTACTTACTTGGTGAAATGACTTTGGTTAGTTTTGACCCAGATTTCAGTTCTTTGTGGCGCCAATGAAAGAAAAAATAAATACAATGTATAGACATTTCTGTATCTCTACAGCTTCACTGCTTAGACCCCAGTAATGCTTAATGAAGCATACGGCAGCTCTGAATTATTTCCAACATAGAGAAAAAGGTCACACCTTCATGATAAACAGTTTTTTTATTGTAATGAAAGCTTGAGTCATTGCTATACTTATTGTAATGTTACCTGTTAGTGTTTATGGGTTATTTTGTTGTGTTAGTAATGAGCTACTGTCAGATTGTTACTGTTGACAGGCAGTGTTGTGAGCGCACTGGTACAAGAGTCGATCCTGTGATGTGTGTCTTTTGGTTGCACCAGTGCCCAAGGAGTGGGAGATTAAGGACTTTGCTGAGTTGCTTGTTAGTGCACAGCTTTGGGAAAAAATGAACTCTTCGTTTTTTTTAAGGCAAAAAAAACCTACAACAATAAACAGTCTCTACTACCTAGCTCAGGTAATAGCCGCAGGGTCCAGCTACAATAACTCTTTCCAAGTGTGTGTGTGTGTGTGTGCTGTCTGTAAGCATGCGTCTGTTTGTAGTTGTGTGTGTGTGTGTGTGTGTGTGTGTGTGTGTGTGTGTGTGGTGTTTCTATGTTAAACAGAAACACATCTGTGCCTCTGCTTAAACATTAACACCTCTGTAAGCATCGCTCAAGGTTGCACACCACCCACTCATCTGTCTTCTTCTTGCACTTATCTCTAAACATCTTCTCTTGTCTAACATGCTGCTAAAATCCTTATATTTGGTACCTCTTGAAGTTTTCTACCTTGTTTATCATATTTGTCTTCATTTAAAATACAAAAGCAAAAAAAGGAAATAGTTTCAGTGCACACACGTTAAGCACTCAGACTCTCTTCACTCACTTAAAAATGTTTTAAGTGCTTCTATCAGCCAAAATGAATCTGTTGTGGATTGTGTACATTTATTTTGATCGTGTTACATCAATGTTAAGTTTGAAAGGAGGTGATGATGGTTGTTAAGGTCATTATGAAAAATCAAAAACTGTGACACACTGACAAGGTGGTATTAATCTAAAGCAATACTTTCAGCAGGAGGATGTGACTCTGAGCCATGACTGGATGAGCCATTCACTCACATCTTACAGATTCTGACTATGCTTGGGGTAGTATTACTTCAAAACATCCATCCAACATCTCTGCAACCAACATCCCTGAACTTGTCTTCACTAATGACCATAATAAGAATCCTTGTCCTCACAGACAACATCACAACAGTAAACTCAAACCCCTTTACAAAGAATTTATGTTAAATGAAAAGCAGAAATTTCATCCTGGGCTTTTTCAGATCCTGATTTAAAAACAGGACAAAGTAACAGTTGTCTCACATTTTAATGCAGCCATGACTTTTATTTTGATATGCTGAAATAATATTTCTATAACCCACTTTTTTGTCTTTTTTTTTTTTTTGCTAAAAAGTGATGATTATACTTTTTGTTTCTATGGGAATCATCCCGAGTTGCTCACGTTTTGATTCAAGGGAAAGATAATGAAAAGAAAAACTGTTTGGTAAATAGTGTCAGTTAGACTGTAATTGCGTGTTGTCTGCCTTCGAAAATGATTCATGTTGTGGGATAACAAAGATAAACGTTTTTGCCGAAGGGGTCAAAACATTCGTACCCAACATATCCGAAGTAGGTCATTAATGTGCAAAATACGCATGCAAATGCGTCATGAAAAATAAGCCAAAATTCACCAGGCAAACTCAATACTGCATTCAAAGCAACAGATGACCTCTCATCAATCCGCTCTTGGCCAGTTTATCCCTAAATTATACGTTCCCATTTGGCGTTTCCATGGTTTAAGCGTAAATCATGGCTTTGCGCACGAAAACGCATGCATAAATGGGCTCCATGTGATTGATATTCACCAGTGGACTATGGCTAAATTAACATCGCCCTTATGTATTGTCAAAGTGAAAATGAGCCATGGACAAAATGACATGAATAAATCTACTTTCGCCCCTTCTCCTCCCTACATGGCCGCGGAGAAAATTGCATATCAATCTTAGGAGGACATGAGACAAGCGCTTATTTTTACTTTGTGCCGTGGCCTCTGCCTGACACTGAAGGACATAGCAAACGCCATTTCAGCCGAATAATAATGGACCAGCGGGGTATTTTGCGCCTAACATTGAGTTGTCTCTTTGAGGCGTGGTGACGTAGGAGGTTATAATGCCGAGCGTAATTAATGCCATTTATCACTTGTTTGATTTTGTCACTGCCTCCACCGACAGGGCTCACATTCGCGAGCCATTAACCAATGGGAGAGCCGGAGCCCTTTGTGACCAAGTACAGGCACGTGGCTTACACCTGCAGGCTCCATTGTGTGTGTGTGTGTGTGTGTGTGTGTGTGTG